TTTTCGATTGAAACCTATGTCTTGTGATAACATTTTTCTAATGGGTCGTTGAGCAATCATACTAATGGGTTTAGGTAATAATTATTAAAGTTAGTTTTATAAAAATAGAACTAAGCATACAGAAGAATCTGACAATTTTTTTTTTTAATTTTTTGAGTAATTTGTAGTAAATATACACTGATCAAAATTATATTTGTTTTTTAGAACATTGTAGAGGTAAAATGTTTTAGTTAATTATTAGTAGATTCATAAATAGTTATTATATAAATAATTGTATATACTAGTGCCAAAAAAAGATTGTATGGGTCTAAAACTTCCTATTTATTCTTAATACCATCAGAAAAAAATAAATATTACTGAAGGTCTTTGGGACAATATAGTATATTATAACAGAAGAGTGAAAGACAAAAAAATATGGAGAGTTAGAAACGGTATAATATAGCAAAATTATCATTCTAGAGACTATTAAAAAGGTAAATTGTGGTGGGCAGGACATGCAACGAGGAGACGAAACTCATTACCAAAAGTGGTTATGGAACAGAATCTAAAAGAAAAAAGGTAAAACCAAAAATAAGGTTGTAATGTACTGTTCGAACGAGGGCTCGTTTTCTCGCCACTGTAGTTTCGACATATACTTTCCTAATGATCCAGCGGACGGTGGAAATTCACGAGGTGGCTTACCATACCTATAATAATATGTGTATCTGAAATTAAAAACATTGGTTTAAGATGCCAGTATAGCCTCCTCGACGTGTAAAATTTTCTACCTACATACTATTTATTTACTCAGGTGAAAAAAAAAACAACAATAATGTACTTATATGGTGTTTACAATGAATGGCGAATTATTGTTTCATATTCGAGTTGTTAGGTATTGAATCATCAACTTATTATGAGTATAGATTTTTTGTTTTTCAAAACAGAATATTATATGGTTTATTTCATACAAAAAATTTGAAATTTGAAGGACACTAAAGGAGTATAATAATTATAGTTACCTATAAGTTTTAAAGTTTAGATAAGTGAAATGAAGTGGCACAGTGCCAGGCTGTTGGCCGTTGTACTCTTACAGTTGTACATAATTCACTTGTCTTTTCCAGGTGGTCGAGCCCGACGCATTGTTGCGTTCGCTCGCCGCCTCGGCTGCATACGAATTGCATGCCAAAAAAAAAAATGTCCAAATTGCATTCCGTCTCTTGTAGGGGTCTGTCCAAATTGCGTGCCATCTCTTGGAGGGCTCTGTCCGAATTGCATGCCATCTCTTAGAGGACTTTGTCCGTATTGCATGCCGTACACCACACGTTTATTTACTATGCACTTAAACAACTTAAACTTTTTTCTGGACTTTCCTAATTTTTTTTTAAAAAAATGCATGTATAGAAACGCTCTTTTATGTATGGTTGTTACAACTGTTTAGTGATTATTTTCTGGATTGAAATATTTTTATATCCATGTAAATATTTTCCCAAACAGTATCTATATTGGAGTAATGTAGTGTATTGTGGAAATTAATAGACTTTTATATAGAAAAGTTGGCATACATGTCATTGATGACAACAAAATAAACAAGACTAAATTTTTAATATATTATGACTATATAGGTACTATATAGATAATTATATTATTATAATTGTATTCTACCTATTATTATAATATTATTACCTACTATTATTATTATTATTATTATTATTATTATTATTATTGTTTTTTAATTTATTATTATTATTATTATACTGTAACGTAATTTTTCATTGTAATATTAACCGTTTTAAAAAATGCTATTATACTATTTTATTATTCAAAAAAAGATGTTTCTCTATTGACATATTTTATTATTATATATTATTTTGTTTATTTAAATTTTAATATTGTGTGCCCGAAATGTCAAAAAAAACCACCAAATTTAAAAATAATATTATTTAAAATACACTCACTTGATTACTCTAAACTACAATAGTTTTATTTAACTAACGGCCTTTGTTGTCGATGAAAAAAATAATAGTTTTATTTTATGATTCTTATTCACTGTGTCACCTTCTACAATATTTATATGTTTTATTGTAATGTAACAAAATCCCGATCCTAAAGTTGAAAAGTAAGTTATTTATTCGGATATACCCCTCCAAGAGACGGCATGCAATTTGGACGACCCGATTTATATTTATTTTTTTGGCATGCAATTCGGATGCACTAGCCGCCTCGAGCCCTGGTTTTACCTGCGTTAGTTAGAGTGCTGTCTGTTTTACCGCTTTAAAACCCCTAGTGGTTTTATCGACCTTTCTATTGTGTGCCACCCCTTATAGTCTTCGTTTTCCAGCCGTTGATGTGAGCGCAATGAGCGTGATCGCTCAACGCACCGTGTGTGCTGGAAAACCTCGAGTGAGCACGAGCTTTACGATTTGTTCACGTTTGTGTGATAATATGACAAAATAGGTACTCCAGATATAATATAATAATAACAGTGAGCTCTGTGATTAAAGTTGTGTTCGCTCGCGTGTCTACATTGTTGAGACGTTGTATTGTCCTTATGATATTGTCCGTGGTGTGGCGTACAGTCCAAAGAACCGCGTGTATCTTCGCACCTATCGAAGTGCCGAATATCAATCGGACCAGTTGTGTCCGGCTAATAGTGCGTGGCTGACGGCTGAACCGAACATCGGGCTCGTTGCCGTTCGGCGGTGATACAGATCGGCATTTCACGGTGCTTTGAGGATTTGCCAGGCGAGGAAATATACTGGAGGAGCCACCGTCAATCAAGCTAATTGAAGGGTTGAGTTGTCGCCGAGTTCGGTCATTTATTATTTGTGTATATTATAATGCCTACACCTGTTCGTGGGCCAATAATTATTATTGTTTGTACTAATGACTATTGACTATATTTATTAGTACGTAATGATTAATATCTGGACACCCACCATTAAGAAATAATTATTATATTATAAACCTCTCACCTCTGTAAGAAATACAAGTACTTCCGTCATTCAAATTATAGTACTACTATTCCCTTCCGCTCCTGTCCCCAACACAATCGCGAGTCGTGGCCGACAACCTCCATACTAGGATCATACGTAGGATCGGCAGAGGCGCAAACAGGTATAGTGAGGGGGGACGTGGAAACATTAGGAGTTGGATCAAATTGGAGGACTCTATAATTATATATGATTTGTGAAATGGCTATGAGGCAAGATGGTCATAGTAGCCGGATAAACCCGAAGGAGAAGAAGAAAAAGATGTTTAAGAATTAAAAAAAAAAAAAGTTAATGTATTTGTGCTATTAGGAAAGTATCGTAAAAAGCGTATGTAATGTTTAGTCGAATTCTGTGACCTATTAATGAATCATTTGAGATTAGTGAACTATTAAATTAACCAATTTTGTATGGTACTTAGTCAAGCTTAGTTTTATAAAATAATGTTTGAATAATTTTAAAATGTAATAGGGATTCTAACTAAATGTGCTGAATTTCCAAGTAAGTTAATTGTAATTAACAAATAATTAATTTTATAACTTAATTTATTAATATATCAGACATAATTTTAGGTAATTTATAAGCATTGACTATTAAGATCTTAAAAGTCAACTTAAGAATTTTAGAAATTTAAATTTTACATACCTATATGGCCGACATGGATATTTAGCCATAGCTCAAACAAATATATATTAAATATTTAGTATTTATTTTAAGAGGAGCTTTCTGCCCCAAAACATTGCATGGATGGTAAAATGCATGCTGTATGGGCTTCCAGGAGGCCCTTGTCCATAAAATTCATAAGTCATTCGTTAATCGTGTTATTATTTTATCAGTAGGTATTCTGAATTTCTGTTTGTACCTAGGTATATGGGAGTTTTTCTCACACAAAATAAGTAATTCATGTATTTAAATTTGTTTTAATTTTTAATATGATACTTTGTGCGCTTATCCCAAAGATTACTAACCTCACTTACCTGTAAGTGCAGTGTTGTGTATTATCTAAATACAAATATTTATATATTTATCTTATCTAGATAAAATTAAAACTATTAAACGATTATCTGCAGATAATTAAATAACATTTTTATTAACTTCGCTTGATTTTTTTCCTTTTTTCATAACTTTTAATAATTATATGCAATTTAAAACAATGCGCTATATGCCACAATTAGTTCACAAGGAATAATCTGAACTGCCTAATAATTTTGAATGTACTATTACGTTTAAAACCAAAAAAATAAATCATCAATTTTTTTTAGATTTAATTATCTCCATTGATTAATATGTTTTTTACAATAAATCAATTTTGTCAAAATAAGTCATTATTTCATTAAACAATAAAATTAAGTTGGCCAGAAAATTTAAAATGTCCAATATATTAATATGTGTTAAACGTTCCTTTTTTTTTTTTATCCAAATTTATTAATTTAATCCATATTGTATTTCTATATAAAATAATAAATTATATTTACTAAAAAATTATAAATATGAGTATGTACTAGGTATACATTATAATTTAATTTATAAAGTCTTAAAAAACCTAAAAACTGTACAATTATCTGTTTTTTATTATTTATTCATTTACCTGTTGTCTTATCTAGATAGTTTTAAAATTGGCTGTACACAACACTGGAGTTACCACACTACTAGCTTATAAATTAGCTATGATTAATATTTATATTACCTATTTATCTATTATACAATGGACCACTTATTATTTTGCATATATATTGTGTAAAGGGCAACAACCATCATTCTGTTTATATGTTTATTTAAATATAAAACCGTCAATAAGAAATGCTTTGTACGATGACAAGTTATATCAGCTGTTAAACTGTATAACAGCAATACCTATTTTATGAATCCTTGTACCCAAACAAGGCTCTACCAAAATTCCTGACGTGCTAGAGCAGTGACTCCCAACGTGGGTGCGCACCTTTGTGGGCTTTTTTAATTTTGAGGGATCGTTTAATTTTGTGGTATGAGATTTTTTAAAATTTAAAACCAGTGGCAAGTAAAAAAAGGTTAGGAATGACCGAGCTAGAGTATCAACCTAAAAAGGTTATTGATGTCCATTCTTCAAACAGCCACTGTATTTCATCTCAAGCTATTTTATATGAGCACAATCATAGTGAAAATAATGCATCGGGATGGTAGTTAAATATTATTCAAACACAAAATTTAATGAACTCTATCGCTATTGTGTATTTATATGCATGTACTAGATTTATAGGTTAACGCCCTAAAACTGCATTAGGTGACAGTTATGTTACAAGAGTCAAATTGAATATTGATGAGTAGTATTGTTCTATAATAAATACTAGTATAATTACATTTCAGATGAAGACAAAGCTGACATAATAAAAGTGGAAAATAAAGGTATTTGTTTCAAATTACGTATATGTACGTGTTTTGTGGCTTCCTCCCCACAACTATTGAGCTTCTAGGCCACCCTTGACCATATGATTCTCAAAAATCATTTGTGAATCGTGTTTATTATTTTATCAGTATTTTAAATTTTTGTTCCTGCCCGGGGGAGAATTTCTCACACAAAATAAATAATTCATATATTTAAGTTTATTCTAAATTTTAAAACTTTTATATGATGCATTTGAGAGCTTATCCCCATCTCAGTCATCTCACTAAGACTAAACTCTCCAACAGTCTAACCTCACTTTTAGCTCATAACTGTAAAAATTCGTACCATATTTATTATTTAATAATAATGTTTAAGTTAAAAAAGTGAAATTAAATAATTATGTGTAGTATAAATTTTATTGTTCTATACCAATACTAATATAATTAAATTGCAGATGAAGAAAAAGCTGGCATAATAAAAGTGGAAAATGAAGGTATTTGTTTAAAATTACGTATAGGTACGTGTGTTGTGGCTTCCTCCCCAGAACTATTGAGCTTCTAGGCCAACCTTGACCATACGATTCTCAAAAATCATTTGTGAATCGTGTTTATTATTTTATCAGTATTTTAAATTTTTGTTCCTACCCGTGGGAGAATTTCTCATACAAAATAAATAATTCATATATTTAAGTTTATTCTAAATTTTAAAACTTTTATATGATGCATTTGAGAGCTTATCCCCATCTCAGTCATCTCACTAAACTCTCCAACAGTCTAACCTCACTTTTAGCTCATAACTGTAAAAATTCGTACCATATTTATTATTTAATAGTAATGTTTAAGTTAAAAAAGTGAAATTAAATAATGATGAGTAGTATTGTTCTATAATAAATACTATAGTATAATTACATTTCAGATGAAGAAAAAGCTGGCATAATAAAAGTGGAAAATGAAGGTATTTGTTTAAAATTACGTATAGGTACGTGTGTTGTGGCTTCCTCCCAAGAACTATTGCACTTCCAGGACGCCCGTCCATACAATTCTCAAAAATCATTCGTGAATCGTGTTTATTATTTTATCAGTATTTTGAATTTTGGGCTCCTACCGAGGGATCATTTCTCACACAAAGTAATTAATTCATATACCTAAGTTTGTTTATTAATTTTCTTTATATGATGTATTAAAGAGATTATCTTCCATCTCACTAATCTCTCTAATATAACTTTTAGCTCATAATTAATTATTTAGTAATAACGTCTACTTTACAAAAGTGACGTTGAAGAATAATGAGTAGTATAATTCTAGTATAATTAAATTTCAGATGCTGAAAATTCTGACATAACAAAAGTGCCATATAAAGGTATTTATTTAAAAATACATAATGTAATTTTACCCCAACCCCCTTAACTTCACGAATGAAAATTCTATTCATGAATTTAATTTATGTCATTTAAAGAAAATGCTTTGAAATTATAGCTATAAAATCGAAACATTTAAATATCATACAATAAAATATATTAATTTAAATTTCATACCTAATTTGATGCACACAATTAAGTTAGTGAATAAAATGCATCTGCTTCTTATTTATTATTATAATGAGATTGTTTCGTAACATAATAATTTTATTATTAACAAATTATCTTTATTTTTTAGAAAACCTAAGTACGTGTTTTCATTTTTTTTTTTTTTGTTAATTAGGTTTTTAATTAATGTATATAATATAATTTACAATAGTTCAGTATCAGTTTACAGATTACTGTATTTTGAATTGCCTAAGACAGTTTATTATACCTACAATAAGCTAAAGTAAATTGATTATCTTTTTTTTTTTTTTTTTTTTTTTTTTTATTGTGATATCGAGGACTGGAGGAGGAACTATGGTGCCAGTACTTCTCCTCCAGCCCCCAACGTTTATTGTCAAAACAAAAACACAACAATTAACAGCGGCGGGACAGTCCCCCACCCGCTGTTATTACAAGCAAAAATAAGTTATGTTACAAACAGTACAGACGGTTCTTAATTATTGTAAATTCCGCCGGTTCGCAGCCTGTCGCACTCGTTCCTCATCTTCCTTGATTGAGAGGATGTTTTCCACCATGCCGTAGAATAGCCTGAACCGCTCTTCGGCCTCTCTCAGGATCGCATCCTTCCCTTGGGCGTCCGCCGGCAGGAGCTCGAACGCCGGTCCACAAATGATGTCCGGAACGTCCTCCGTGCTCGGTCGGTGGCCAATCCTGGCTCTCAGGGCTTCACAAAGGCCGTCCCAGTAGGGGCAATCAAACAGGGTGTGTTCAACGGTATCTGATTCGCCCAAGCACTGCCAGCATCGAGTGCTAGCGGCCTTGCCCATACGATGGAGGTACCATTCAAAGCAGCCGTGGCCCGTGAGTGCCTGAGTCATGTGGTACGTCAGAGGCACCCACGGGACAGTCCTACCTAGCCATCTTGCCAGGTCAGGGATTACTCGGCGCGTCCAGGCTGCCTTCGGGGTGGCGTGCCATCTTGCCTGCCAGGCGACGATCGTGATTTCCCTTGCCTCGCGTTTCACGGCCGCCTTGGAAGGCCGTTGTTCACCGGGCTCCATTACGGCGCGCAGATGGGATCCGATGTACTGCCTCTCCAGTCCAAGCAGATCGACGGGCGGCATGCAGGCCAAGACCAAGGCGGCCTCGTCCGACACGGTGTGGTAGGACCGAATTACCCTCAAGACGGCGGTCCTCTGCGGACGGATCAAGACCGCCCTAGTTCTGGCGACTTCAGTAACGGAAGGGATCCAGACGGGAGCAGCATACAGCAACTGGCTTTCCACAACAGACGCGAGCAGCCTCCTCTTCCACTGAGCCGATCCGCCCATGTTGGGCATGAGCCTGGATAACGCAACGGCTGTGCGGGCCGCCTTCGCAGCGACAGTGCTCGCGTGTGCAGCAAAGGTTAGACGCTTGTCCAGGATCACACCGAGGTACCTAATCTCATTCCGTAGTGGGATCGGGTGACCGCCGACCGTCAAGCGTGGTGGGACAAACGCCCGCCTCCGGGAAAGCACCACCGCCTCGCTCTTCTGATGAGCCAGCTCTAGGCCCCTGCTCCGCATCCAGACATCTATGGTCGCCAGTGTAGGATTGATCGCATCTTCGAGCTGCTCTCCGGTCACGGCCGTGCCCACAACCGCGAGATCGTCCGCAAAACCGACTAGCTGCAACCCGGGCGGCGTTTCCATCTTCAGGAGGGAGTCATAAGCGACGTTCCACAAGGTGGGGCCAAGGACGGAACCCTGCGGCACTCCGCAGGTCACCGGTCTCTCTGCCTATTCCTCGCCAGTCAGAAGTGTTCTGTCAGCCAGCCAGGACCGGAGCATCTCTACCAAGTATTCCGGGGTGTTAATGCCCCTCAGAGCTGCGTCGATGACCGGCCACCCCAGAGAATTGAAGGCGTTTTTGACATCCAGCGTCACCAGAACGCAGAGGCTCTTCAATCTCGGGGTGGTGGCCGCCTGGGCAGCGATGCTGAGAACGGTGCCGATTGCTGACTCAGTGCTAACTCCCCTCCTGAAGCCGAACTGGTTCGGGGCTCTTCTCCGCCCCCCGTGAGCGTCCAGGTGATCTTCTAGCCTCTGGAGAAGGAGCCTCTCGAGCAGCTTCCCAGGGGCGTCCAGCATGCAGATCGGCCTGTAGCTCGACGGGGCGTCCGGAGGTTTGTCCGGACCCTTACGGAGTAGCACTAGGCGGGCCCTCTTCCAACGTGGTGGGAACGTCGACGCGTTGAGGCAATCATTGAAGACGCGGAGGACTGCGCAGGGCTGGGCGAGCGCGACAGCCCTAAGGATCTCGTTGGGGATCCCCGAAGGACCGGCCGCCTTGCCCGGTGAGAGTCTCTTTACTGCTCTGCTGATTTCTTCGGGCCTGAATTCTGGAATGACCCTGGTGAACTTGAGCGTGTCCAGGACCGGGTCGAATGCTTGGAAGATGTTGTGCACCGCTGGGGACGGAGCCAAACCCCAATCCGTGACGGGGGCCGCTGGGAACAGAGCGTCGGCGATGACGGCCTCCCTGCCCTTGGAGCTCGCGGCCGGGTTCTGGCCGCCGAGCTTCTTCATCACTAGCTTGTAGGGTCTGCCCCAGGGGTCTGTGTCAACCTGGGCGCACAAGTCGGCCCAGCACTTGTTTTTCGCCTCTCGGATGGCTATGCGTAGCTCCCTCTTGGCGGCGATGTAGGAAAACCTAGCTTCTTGAACTCCGGGCTGGTTGACGCGTCTGATGCAGGCTTGGTATCGCCTACGGAGCGCAAGGGACTGACGCCGCAGATCGGCGATTCTCTCCGACCACCAGAACACCGGCCGTCTGCCCTGAGGGCCTTTTCTTTTTCTGGGCATGGAAGCTTCACAGGCGCCGAACAGGAACGCATCAAATGATTCAGCCGAAGACAGCGCAGTCTCAGCACAGGCGGCACCGGCGGTGGCTCCTAGGTGCGTGATGCTCAGATGACGGCACAGGGCGTCTGGGTCGAGCTTCTTGATTGACCAGCCGGAGGAGACGTTAGCGAGTACATCGGCGACCGGGGGCTGGGCCGGGTCGGCCGTGTTGAAGCAGACGTAGTTGTGGTCGCTCAATGTCTCTAGGTCGGGTACATGCCAGTCTGTGAGGTCCACGCCTCGATAGAACGTGAGATCTATAATTGATGTGGCCGCCCCTTTCACGAAGGTAGGGGAGGTGCCCGAGTTGGCCAAGATCAGCCCCAGACTTATGGCGAGATCAGACAGCGGTGCGCCCCTGGGGTTGTTGGTTCTCGAACCCCACTCCACGTTCCAGGCGTTGAAGTCGCCGGCCAGAACGATCGATGAGTCCGCTCTAGCGCGGATCGCCGCCTCAAGGTCGCCCAGAAACAGTCGATACTCCGGCAGCGAGGCCCCGGGCCTGCAGTAACAGCTGAAGACGGTCAACCCCTGGAATGATAGCCAGGCGAACCCACTGCCGAAGCCCCGACCATCGTGACTGAGCTCTGAGCGCAGTGATGTACGCACAGCAGCCTTGTGATCCGTGCTGAGGCACCACCGGTCCTCATGGTCATAGTGGGTGGCCGGCTCAGATACAATAAGGATGTCAGCCCCGATCTCTTCCGCCGTCTGTGCCATAAGCTGCTCCGCTGCCCAATTTGCATTCAGGTTTATCTGCAGGAATTTAATCATCTGTACTCTTGGCTGCTCCTGACTTTCTTCTAGCGGCGCACGCCCCGGAGCCAGGTTTGTGCGCGACCTTCGGCAGACCAGCGGTTTCGCAGGCCACGCAACGGTCGTCACCCTCAGCGCAGTCCTTCATTAAGTGGCCTGCCACTCCGCACTTCCAACAGGCGCCCGTCCTGTCCTCCGCAGTGCAGGATCTGGAGTTGTGGCCGAAGGCCTGACACCTGAAACACCTCTCCGGTGGCAGCGTTCTTGGCCGGACGCGGCACATGGTCCACCCGATCGGGACCCTGGCGATGCTGGCGGCAATGCTAGTGACGCTAGTGCCTATCTCCTCCCTGGTCAACCCGCAATTCCGCACTGCCAGAATGGTGTCCCGGTAGGACTTTCCGGCCGCGTTTCGGATTAGGATCGCCGGCGGTTTATTGGAGAAAACAGGCGGGCGCTGGCGGGACCCTGCGGCGGGTGGGAGTGCAGCAGCCGCCGTTTTTCTCCCTTGCCTGGATCGTCTGCCGACGACTTTCGACCACTCCTCGCCGTCCGTTTCCATGGCGTCGGTTTCGGCGTCCCGTGCGGTCTGTTTGCCTGCTACCTTCGGTTTCCTTGACCTGCGTGCCGAGGCTGCCTTGGACTCGATGACCGCGTCACTATCCCAGTAGCCCGGGGTCAGGATCATGTCCGTGGAGGCGTCGGATGTAGATGCAGTGGGAGCGCTAAAATTGGGCGCATTAAGCAGTTCCCCATCCATGCTAAGCAACGAATTTAGACACTCAAACGCTTCGTTGTTGTGCTCGAGAATCCGCTCCATTGCGGCCCGCAGAACATCGTCCGACGCGCGGTCATTAATTATCCTGGCATCCCTGTGTACGTTAATGAGGTGCGACGTGACTCCCTTAAGTGTCGCCCAAAGATCTTGCAGCCAGGTTACTGAGGACTTCGGGGACGTTGTGATCTTTATTTTCTTGACCGAGGGTCCGTCGGATGAGTTCGGCTCAGACATTTCATGCGAGGCGGCCATTGCTCGGGAGACTGGTTGAAGCGTGGCGTCGCCGGGGGCCTGGCCCCGGGGCTGGGATGAAGCGCTGTCCCTGTCCGCGCTGTCCTTGTTGGGGTACACTTGCAGGCACTGTCCCTATCGGGGTGGCGGTGCGGAGCTCACTGTCCCTATCGGGGGCCCGAACTCCTCCTCCGGGGGGGGATAGGGGGTTCTGGTTTGCTGGGTCTTGTCGAAGTCTCCGAAAGCTGCTAGGATAAGGTCGAGGGGCAAAATTTTCGTCCCGAAGCTCTAGGAGCAACCCTGACGGAGATACGGCCGAAAAACCGTGGGGAGCGTAGAGGGTCCTCTGGCTTGGCGCGCAGGCCCGATGGGGGGCCGCACTTGCTTCCTTGGAAGTGGTGCGCGCCAGCGGAGTCCTCTTGGCGACTTTAACTGTGGGTGGCAGGCGCTGGTGACGCTGGGGTGTAGCGGGTCGACCGGACTAGGAACGGCTCGGGAGCGAACTCGACGGAACACGTCTTTCCTTGGCGGACGACTCTGCGCGACTGAGTAAATTGATTATCTAGTAATCTCTAAACCGTTACAGAACAGTCGAAGGTTTATTGATTTACATGATTGTAATTTTAGTTTATTGAATGTGACTTTCTATTGTTTACTATAAAGATATATTTCTAATAATGATTGATAATCGATTTTTAATTAATATTAAATAACATATCCTACATAAGACCAAAACGTAATATTTTTGACAATAGCTAAAATATTAAGATTACAATATTTTTCTATGACATACAGCGTTTCATTTATCATCGCCGGTTCAAACGCACTCTTAAACCTCTCTCTATTGACATCGCTTCCATAAGCAGCAACGGGTTGGATTTCTTCAAATCTCTTTCTGCAGTATCAAGATGTCTCTGCCTAGGCCTGCCTGTTGGTATTTCCAAGATAGCATGTTTTTTGGTGACTTACTTAATGAGTGATCCTTCTAGTCGATAGACGTATCCCGTTCACTCAAACCTAACCTTGCATTATTTATATTGTTTTTTTCGTTTATGCTGGTTCCAAGTATTTTAAGTGACCTTCAAAAATTATAATATTAGTTAGAATTACTTATACTCTCATTATATCAAAAACATTTTAGAAAAGTACATAATTATTTTTTCCCATACATTACAATAAATATTATTATGTTTTTTTCATAAATGCGTCTAATTATTTATTTTCTTCTGATCAGAAAGCTGAATATATTGGTTTTATAATGTTGTTTGATTTTTTTGTGTTACTCATCTTTTGGAATCGTAAAAATGCTTCAACCTCAAATATGAGAGAGGTTTCTGATCTAGTTGATACTTTTTTTGGTTGAGTAAGTGGAGATGGGTGAGGTTGATGGGTCAGTATGATGGAATTAAAATTGGATGTTTTGAATAAAATAACTGTTTAATATATTATGAAAAATAGTATTCTGTCAGGAACGTTTTTTCCCGACAGCCCCGCATCATGCCATAAAAAAACTTCATTTCAATAATAATAATACAATGAACAAAATGTGTATATTGACTTAACGATTAGTTAGTTCATTTTAGTACGATTAGGATAAGGCTCAGGAGTTACACTATTAGTTACTTTATTTACTGTCTGTATTTTTATCTCTTCCCCCCCCCTTAGATTCATCTTTCCAAAAAGCATCTGAATATCTTCTAAATTTTTTTTTCTAAAACCTCATGTTTGTACTTATCATTTTTAATCTACATCTTTGATCTACATTCCGCTTGTGTATAGTATTATTTGTTGGATCTTTACAAATTGTTAGTATACGTACTCTTCGCCGGTGTTATGGGATCGAATAAATCGTTCAACATGATATATGCCTGTTCTCCCATGCAAGTAATTAAAAGTGGTACATATTGTTCCATGCGTTCCTGGTATACTGTCCGATTCCCGTCGGGTTTGAATTCTGACAGAACGCCAATTGTACCATAAATGTGGACTCCGTTAGGTGTGGAGCCAATCTCACCTTGCTCTTTACCGCCGGTCATTTTTGGAGAAAAACAAACTTGTAAATTAATGGATGAATGATTAACGACGCCACGCCACGCCACTAATTTTATCCACTTACATCTTGTATACTTAATTCGCAGTGTCAATTTTTGTAGCACATACTTTTTATCTTCGTCGAAACTGTTATATTTCTGACCGCAGTGGTTAGAAACACATAAAAAAGAGTAATAAATGAAACATTTTACTTGAACGCTGATTTATTATAGTAAAATACAAATGAGCGAAAACATATTTCTTTTTATAAAGATATTAGTACAATATGGAAGTAACAAAAACAAAATATAATTTAACAAAACCATAACCTTACCTTTTTCGCTCGTTCGGCAAAATCAGCCAGAGCACGTTAGTGTCATATACATATAACACCAACTACCTGACACGGCAAATTCTATTGCTATAGGTTCTTGTGATTATGCGAGCAGTATATTCTCAGCTAGGAAATCTACTTGAAATAGACCGCGGACCCCGCGTGGCGATTACGTAAGAGTATAATTTAACTCTAAACTATCAAAAAATCGGTGCACCGAATCCTTAGTTCACACTGAATACATTCTGTTCTAAAAATACACAGGTTTATCGCATTAATAATTATTATTAATATTATCAAAACAAATAGCAACCATTTACAAACAAAAATAATAATATTAACAATAATCTCAAAATCCCTGTTTGAGAATATCCCCTGTTGGATCTCTTATTTACCTTGTTCACGACAAAATGTAGCCAATCTGCTTTCCCAATGTCTAATCAATCTCTATACTAAGATACTGAATAAACAGTTTAGGAATGTCAATCAAATGACACAGACAGTCAGTCGCAAACATTTGTTGTCTTTTCTATACATATAGATATATTCTTATAAATAATTACCATCTCCTCTCAGAGTCATTTATCATCGCAAACAATGATTAAACATTAAATTTAAATTTAACACATCTATTACAGTGATATAACAATATAGGTACTCATTGACTATAGGAACACTGGACATCTACTATACAGCAGATCCAAATATCATCACATTCTATATTTAATATTATTATATATTTGATAAAATAATATCTATAATTCAAACATAGTATAATTATGTACGTAAGTCACGGATTGAGATTTTTATTGTACGTTATATTATTAGATATCTCAAATAAATAGGATTATTAGGACGTAAAATATGATTGTATAATATATTATTATGGTAATAACCTGCTTTCCACACTGCGTCTCAATTGTTCAATGCTTTGTAATGTAAATATGTTTTTACAGTAGTTATTATGCGGGAGAGCTTCTTAAATCCATAAATAGGTATACCTACAGATTTTAAACAGCGAAAAATACTGATGATTGCAAAATCGACAACCATAGTAAAAACTAAGCTAGATCACAAGATAATAATGGAAGACCAACTATACATTTTCATTACAGAAAAAAATCATAAAAATATGTACAAAAAAAATGCTAATAAATTATGATAGGTAGTCTGTACTTGAAACAAAACCATTTATTGTAAACTATATTTTTGTTTTTATAGAAAAGAATATGAGTAAGTATTTATGAGATTTATAATTAGTTTTATTGAAAGAAATAGGTAAAAAAATTGATATGAAGGGTATAAAAAATCAAAAATTCCTTATAATTAGGTAGTTATAAATATCAAACAAAGTTATGGTCAGTTAATTTCATTACAAAATTATACATATCTCATGAAAGCTTTGTATAAATATGCGGAACTAGATATTATTGAGTGGCATATAGCCAAGAAATAGTTTAGTATTTTATTTCAAATCTAGAATCTAGATAGTGTATTAAAAGAAATTGTGTTTATGTTCACAATACAAAAATATTCTGTATTGAGTGATTTCATACATGATAAGAACTGTTAAATCAATAAATAATAATTAATAACTATTATATAACTAGCTTTCCCACCCGACGTTGTCCAGGCCAAAGATTTGTATTTTTAATAAATATATTTGTACAAAATATATACACCATATTTTTTCTAATTATAGTATTAATATAATATGTAACAAATGCAATTTATTTTTTCGTATGCTAAAAAAAAAATCACGTGCTCCCCTTTACCTATCTACAGCTTGAAAAATCAAGCTGTATACAACCCCCAATTTTCAAGTAATAATCTATTGAAATAACTTTTATTGAACTTTTAGTTTTTATACATTAAACCCTTCCCCGTGACTCGACCGATTAATTAGTGAAAATAAGTAGAGTTATTTTCGAGGTATATGCAAAACGGATAGTGTTTCTCTACTATATTATGAATGTTATATGCATACAAACATTCCTCTTGAATAACTCTATTAATTTTAAAAAAACTGCATCAAAATCCGTTCAGTAGTTTTAAAGATCTAAGCATATAGACAGAAAAAGGGAACTTGTTTTATACCATGGTAAGATACTAACTTGTAAATTGTAGGGGTTACGACTTACGGTTGTTAGGGTTGATGAGGTTGTAACGGTTGGTACGGTTGCGGTTGGTTGGAAACAGGTGTATGTGTGCCAAGGTTTTTGCCTTTTAAGCATTTTTCCGGGAACTAGTGTCGACGTTGTTACTCTCAGATCACATTGAGTGAATAATTGCAACCACCATTCTATATTTTTTTGATTGTTTAGTATAATATTTTAAAACAATTAACATAAAAATTATCCAAGCATAATCCAACTTGTATTTTTAATTAGATATATTAATCGGTACGTATTATTTTTGTTGTTTATTGTATTGAATATTTGTGTAATTTAGTAGGTATAACTTCAAATGATACGTGGCTCATAGCATATTATATCAACTAGCTACTGTGTTTTCATAATCTCTATTGAAAATGTTGAATTAAGCTTTATATAATTATTATTAATAAATAATTTATTATAATTATAATTTTTTATAGATTATCTTAGTACGTACATTTTTGTTATTTTTTTTTCGGTTAGAGTTAATAATATAAGGT